TGTTCTTCCTTCTTTTGTAAGCAGGAAGTTGGTTCAACCTTGGCCTGGTGGCGCAGCGCTACGGGGAGCACTGCGCCCGACCGGACTGAGACTACCCGGTTGACGCGGGGGCGCTTGCACGTTGGCGTGGGCGGCAGGTAGAGTCGTGGTGAGAAGACGCTGGAGGAGTGGCGCGGTGGTAGGAGAGGGCGTGATGAGGTGCGCTTGCATGTTGGCATGGGCGGCGGATAGAGTGGGGGTGAGATGACGCTGGGATGGGAGATGGCGTGAAGAAAAGTACGTCTTCATAGTCAGCTTTTCGCGGTGGGAAGGTTGGGATGAGCATCATGGGGAGTGTTGTGGCGAATCATCGGTCTTCTTCCTCTTCTTCAGCTGCGTTTCATATCGATGGTCGTCCTAATGATCTACTCGACTTCTGTCCGCTCAGTCTATAGGGGCTCGTTCGACACTCCTCGGGCCGTCCTCGGGGCCTGAGGAAAGTCTCCCGTCATTGCCCGAGGGAATTCGCGCCGTCGTTTCACTCATCCTTGGAATTGTTCCCCGAGGACGATTCCTCGGGGCCTTCCGCGGCCAGTTTCATATATCGATGAGCAGACGCGGGGGGCGAGGGGCGGTTGGTCCATCAAGGTGTGTTTGTGCCGACGTCGTTGGTCCAGCTCGGGTGGCCGTCGCGAAATTGGAAGTTGGCGGTGGAAAAAAAAAATGGCACGAAAAAGGCACGCAGTCCCGGGTTCGAAATTCGAAATTCGAATTTTCACAAGCGACCGTCCGGTACTGTGGGCGTCCCTTGCGGCTGACGGCAGCAACGTTCCTCAGCAGAAGCATTTCGGTACGGGGTGGCGGCTGCGTGTCGGTGGGCACGCCGAACGTACATGTACGCGTCCGAAGCAACAGACGCGCCGTCACACGATCGACGTCGTTGTCATCTTCGCAGGTGAGCTTGATCGTCGACGTGTACGCTGTGCACTGAGGTTGTCACTCGCAGCAGTGCTGTTGTGCGGCCCGCCACACGTGGAGTCTTCTGCACTTGGCGACGCCCACGTCGACAGTACCAGTTTCAGCGATGGCCATGAACGGGGGGTCGGGACGTGACACACTGAGCAAGGTAGAGAGGACGGCGGTGGCAGCGGCCGTGAACGCCATCCTCTTCCAGTGTCAATTGCAGAGAAGCGAGAGGAAGATGAGAGCGGCCATTCGCGCACGGTGGAAGAGGACGCTGCAGTCCACGAATGTGGAGGGAGAGGACAGTGGTGCCATTTGCGATGCCGTGCTGCAGGTGTGCTACGCCATGGGGTGTGGAGCATTCCCCAGAGCGACGCCCAGGAGGTGGATGAAGCGACGGATAGGCGGGACGTGGGAGGATCTTCGTCAATGCGACGACGCGACGGCGAACTACTTCAAGGACAAGTTGCGCATGTCGCCACGTGTGTTCCGAGAGATCACGGAAGCTTTGTCTCCCTTCCTTGAACGGCGTGTCACTTTCTATAGGGAGCCCCTCCAGCCTGACCACATTGTCGCGTACGCTTTGTACAGGTGGGCGTCGGGGGAGACGTACGAGAGCGGGACATGCAGCTTCGACATTGGCAGATCTTCCGGGGTGGTGGCTGTGCGGGATGTAACTGCGGCGTTGCTGAGTGCGTACCCCGACAAGATATCCTGGCCAACGGGGCTGCAGAAGGCGGTCGCCTTGCACGCTTTCGCTGACAAGGGTTTCCCTAACTGCCATGGGTGCATTGACTGCACCCACATCTTCATCGACACGCCATCGAATTGCCCCGGGGAGGACTACTACGATAGAAAACGCCGTTTCTCTGTCCAGGCGCAGGTCGTCGTCGATTTGAACTTGCGCGTGCTGGATGTGTTCGTCGGTTATCCGAGAAGTTGCCACGACGTCAGAATCGTCCACCTGTCCAGTTTATGGCCACGCGCGGAGGCAAGGGAGCTTTTCACTGGGCCACCTGTTATGCTGCCTTTCGGTGTGCGGATGAACGACTATCTGCTGGGGGACAACGGTTATCCGCCCTTCGAATGGGTAGTCGTTCCCTATGGCGGTCTCTCACAAACCCCGTCGGAGTTGCGCTTCGACAACAAGCAGAAGACGGCGAGGGGAGCAGTTGAGAGGGCTTTCGGCAGACTTAAGGGGATGTGGAGGTTGTTCCTTCGCTCCCACAAGATGAACATGGAGATGTTTCCACAACAGTTCATCGCCGTCTGCATTCTGCACAACATACTTATCGACGCGGGCATCCCCTTCGACGACAATCTATTGTGGGAGGTCAGGCCGGACGGTGTGCGTCGCAGGGTGGATCTTGGGATGCAACGGGCCTTGAGGCCGATGTGTATGGAATCGTCAACGGGGGATGCGCTCATTCTGCGGGACGCACTAGCGGAGAGAATGGGTGTGTAGTGAACACGGCCGGGCGTGCGGAGCAGGCGGCTGCGATGACATGGCTGTGGCGAGAAATCGGAGTGGACGACGTCGGGAGCAGGCGAGAAATCGGAGCAGACGACGCAGGAGGCGTGTTTTCCTGGAAGGGGTGATCGTCTGAGTTGGTGTCGTTGTGTGTGCGGGGCTGTTTTTCAGAAATGGCGAGTTTAAGCAACGATGGTTGTTTTGCTGTGGGTTGCCGTGCACGGGGCGGGGTGTGTCGGCAGTTTCATTCGGTTTTGTTTCACATTGTGCGTCGTTCAGGAGGGTGTCGGCGCCTGGGTTTGATGGTGATGGCGCAGTCCAACGCGTAGTCGACGGGGGCGATGTGACGCGCGTGCACGTGCCGATCGTAGTTGTCGTGTAGTATGGTGTCACCGCGGGTGACGTGTCTGGGTGACATAATCGAGTCTTCATCGTGTCTTCTGTTTTTCGGAACTTTGGATTGAAGTTGCCTTCAAGGCCTTGATTTTTTGCAAAGTGTGTTTTTATCCACTGTTTTCTTTGTACGAGACACAACAATGTAGTTTCTTACTTATCGTGAAAATTGATAATGTTGCGTGGCTTGTCTTCTTCTTTGTGGACGAATGAAAAATACACAATTGAGTTGGGGTTGTTGTGTGTTGTTTGTACTGCCATCTCTGCTTCCAACATGTGCAATGCAGTGTGTGAACATCCCTCACTTTGTCATCAACCATCGGCTCAAGCAAGCATCCCCGACTCCGTTACGTCCCCCTTACCATAACTTTCGTGAATGCAAATGAAAGTGGAACAAAATAGGAAGCGGCAACACGACGTAGACGTCAACAATATAATCAACACAATTACATGTTCGCTTTCACAGATGCGAACATTGATTTGGCATGTTTGACAAAACAAAATGAACATTTAAAGAAAACGAAAGGTTCCTGCAAAACCCCTACGACAACCGATCCGGGACGGTGATGATCATCGTCACGGAAACGTCCACCACCATGACCACCGGCATCGTCCCCACCCCCAGCCCCGTCTCCAACGTATACCCTTCACATGTCTGAGACGAAACCGAACCAAGCACCCCCCCCCCTTTGCGGCCGCACTCCTCTCCCAGTAAGCTCCATGACTTATGTGCCCTCCGGCACGACGACTGGTGAGCCGTCTTCGACCAAGTGAAGGCAGAGCAGCACCGCGCGAGAGAAAACAACAAGAACACACACATTCAGGACGCCCCCAAAACCAGCCCCCCTCCTGCCCCCCGCGTCCCCCATCCCACGTCACCGTCTCAACGGGAAATGCGACAACCACCCTATCCCACCCTGCGATGGCGAGGTCGAGGAAGACACAGCGCCATGAACGCGTCATCAACCCCCTCGCTCCCTTTGTCGTCGGCTTTGTCATCGTCGACGTCTTCCGGGGGGCCTGTGCCCAACCAATCGAGCTTCTTTGCCTCCATGGGGGAAGACAACGTGGCGTCATGTGAGAACTTGACGCCGATCGACGCCCAGTCGGGGATGTACAATGGAGGTGCTATGGTTTTGTCTGTGTCTAACACCTACAAATACACATAGAAGTTGGTAAGATACTCGATTTTGCTAATTGAATTAGAGAATTATGAAGGTTGTGAGATGATTTTTCTTTATCTGTTATTAGTTTACCTTGTATGTTTACTCCTAACCGAACTGGCTAATAGCCCCGAGGTATGAGGTCAATGCAAATATAAGAAATGTACCCGGTTTGCAACAGGTGTTGGTCCCCACTGATAAACCGGAGCACCCAGAGGGTGTGGTAGAAAGAGATACTCATAACACTCCCTCTAGCAAACGAAGGTTGACATTTACCTCTCCCCCCCCCCCCTCCCTTTTTGAAAAAAAAAAAAACAGAGCCAACTAACTTAAATAAACATATAAAAATATGGTTTTGCTTATGTCTAACACTTATAAATATACATAGAAGTTGATAGAATGCTCGATTTTGCTAATTGAAGTTGAAAATTATGAGATAAAGCATTTTATATGCTGCTTTTCCTTTTTTAAATAATCTATAGTTATATAATATAATACCGTTTAATAAACTTTATCAAAGTAATGATTAAAAAAAATAAAAAATTTTAAAAATAATTTTATAATTCGAACGTTTCAGGGGGGGGGGTCGGACACCCCCCTGAACGTTTGAGGGTTCGGGTCGAGGTTCGAGGTCTACCAAACCCTAACGTTCTTTATGTTTTACTTCCTTTATTTTTTTAATAAAGTATAAACGGGTGACAGTTCTGGAATGATTGGTCCTTCACGTTTTTGCAGAGGACCAACAACTATTTGGTTTCCCTGCTAGTACCTCTGAAAACATAGCACTGGTTCTACCTTATGACTGGAGGCCCACCAAGGATCAAAGTTGTAACAACGGAATTTTTTAGGCCAGTCGATTTTGAAGGTCCGATGGTGGCCAACAGGTTTGGCCAAAGGCGGTTGACAACTTGTTGCAGAATTTCAAGTGTGCCTTCTTCAATGAACTTTTGTAATCAGAATGATTGTTGAAAAAATATGAAAAAAATTATAAAAACAAGAACATAGATTGAGCAATGATCTCTCCGAAAAAAGAAAACAAAATTTTGGGAAAACAAATGTTGGTGGTTCAAGAATGCATTTTTTTCTCCTCCGGTAGGGCCCCATTGTTTTGGCTCATTAGGTTAGGCTCGAAATTTACAGCCCCCAAGGCTACGGTATAGTGGGTTCTGACTTCTTTGTTTGCAACCCCAAACGTAGTGTAGGCCCTACGTACGGGGACGAGCCGTACGTATCGTTGTACGACCGTACGTATGCCCCCTGCCCCCGTACGGGTTGTACGTACAAATTTTGACACCTGTCTTTGGGGCCACCCTGGGGGTGTCTGAAAATTGAAGGTTTGGGGGGGTTGCGGTTGTCAGGGGTTACCCCCCCAGTTTATAATTAAAAAGAAAACTTTTTTGGGGGGGGGGGCTGGAGAAAAAAAAACTTTTTTTTTAGGTTGGAGAATAAAATAAAACCCGATTGATTGATTGATTGATTGATTGCTTGATTGATTGGTTCATTGATGTATGATCGATTTGATTGATTGATTGATTGATTGGTTCATTGATGTATGATTGATTGATTGATAAATTGATTGACTGATTGTAATAAAAAAAAAAAAAAAAAAAAATGCGTGCAAAGATGAGATTGATTGACTGCTTGATTGGTGATTGATGATTCATTGATAGACTGCTTGATTGATGATTGATGATTCATCAGTAGATTGATTGATTGATTGATTGAGTCTGTGATGGTCGGTTCTGCACAAAAAATGTCAAGGACTGGTAATCACATAGCTTCCACCCCTGTTGTACCCCATTTAACCACCAATACCTCCACCACTACGCAGCCGCAGGGAGTTAACGTTAACGTGCCGCGACTTTCGGGGGCCGGGGGCCGTTGAGATTTTTCATCAACGACCTGAGTCGCGGCGCGCGGCTCCAAAAGTCACGGTGAGGGCCCCACAGCCACGTAGTGATGGAGGTACTGGTGGTTTTAAAGCGCCACCTTGACACCGTGGCAACCCATTATACCACAGCCTTAGGGCTGCAAATTGAAAAAGCAAGGGGATATTTGTAAAATACCCAATAAGTTGAGATATATGCCAAAATGCCCCTGAAACATATTGCTAGAATGCCCTTCTCACTGAATGCGTTTTGTTATGTCCCTGTCAGCCCCGTCCACAAATTCACAATCTGGACCTCAACATTTGGGCTGGGGTGTTTTGTAATCAGGGCTTGGACAAGTTGGCAAGTATCCGGGCATTTGGATGGTACTGGGTAGGGAAATATTGAAAAGATGGGGGGTCCAACAACCATACCAGGGGTATTTCACAAAATATTTTTCTGTCAGAGGGGCATTCCACTCTATTGACATCTTTTAGGGGCATTTTGGCAAATTTCTCAACTTATCGGGGTATTCCTAAAATTACTCCAAAAAAAGAGAAATGGTCCAAATTAAAGAAAGGACATATTTTTTATGCAGCGTGCCCCTCTGCTGGCCAATCTACCCTGTCGTGCCCCTCTGGCAAAGATTGAAGTTTCCAAAAAAACCCTGGCATCGTTTGTGTCTGAAATATATTCAATATGCCAGGCCAGTGAATTTTCACAAAAATTAGTATGACACGCTAGCTCCCATCCCAGGGCCAGGGGAACCGCCGCGTGTACCACCAACAGCCACAGGGGTATACTGGAAAGTTGCACCCCTCACTGATAGGGGCCTGCAGGAAAGTTCAGAGGCCCCAGGAGTAAGTCGGCCGCTGGAGGGGCATGCCGCAAACAAATCGAACCTTCAAGGGCATCTGGAAATTCATGAAGTAGACGTGACGAGGCCCAAGCCTAGAGCCTCGTGGCCAGCCGGGCCAGGCGGAGGTGTGCCGCGCCTGCTGATTTCAGCGCAGAACACGCGACTGCACGCTTCCTCTCTGTCTGTCTGTCTGTCTGTCTGTCTGTCTGTCTCTCTCTCTCTGTGTCTGTGCCTCTCTCACCTATTACTTAGGACGATCGTGGATCGTGATTGACGGACTAACGCGGAGCGCATCAGAGGTACATGACTCTCTCTCTCTCTCTCTCTCTCTCTCTCTCTCTCTCTCTCTCTCTCTCTCTCTCTCTCACGCCTAACCTCACGATCACGCACGCCTCTCTCTCTCTCTCTCTCTCTCTCTCGCGCGCGCGCGCGCGCACTCCTCCATCACACACGCCTCTCTCTCTCTCTCACGCTCTCTCTCGCGCGCACATGCTTGGCTCAATTATTGAATCCGGACATCTTTTGGCGCCAGCATACACAAAACCTCTGTGCAGGCGCGCAGACGCACTCCGCTGATTTTCCTCCGTCCCGATTATTGCGGACGCATCGCCCTCCCCCCAGTAACCCCTTCCTCCCCCCTTTCGAAAACGACTCTAATCAGCCGATAAACTTTCCACAAACAACACCCCCTTCCCCTCTCCGATCCCACTTCACCCACCCGTTTATCCCCTCAACCC